AATATGTCGGTAGCAGGGGTGCTCAAACGGTCGATCGCGATCGACTGGTCGATCGCGAGTGCTTTTTGGGTAGATCTCGAGAAGAAAAAAAATTTTAATAAGTAGGTAGGTAACTAAACTTCTGTCAGCAGAGTTGAACGTTTTTATTAATACTGAACTGTACAAATACATATAATGCTTGACTAAGCATCATTGCAATTCAAAGAAGTGGGGACAACAAAATACTGTTCACACAGCATATTTTATATTTACATATATTAACTAATTATTTTATTAATTTAATATTTATTATAATTATTAATCAAATTTGGGATGATATTCTATCAACTACAAAAATGTATTACGTAATAAAATCACACTGATTGCGGCAAAAGGTGGCTTTATCAAAGGAACGCGCGGCACTTGTCAAAAAAAACGCCGTGTTGTTTCTAGACGAGAGACTTTCGTTCACGCCGATATAAATGTTGCGCCTGCAGGAATTGGAGTTATTCTGAATTGTAACTTGATAGCAATCCTACGTCGATACAAAGTTTATTATTAAATAGTGGAAAATGAGTGCAGTTAAGAAATCTAAAACGTATCATTTTATTAAGGATTGGGAGGAAGAATTTTTCTTTTCTATGGTGAAGGATAAGTGCATTTGTGTTATTTGTTGCACGTCAGTTGCAATACCTAAGCGTGGTAACTTATAGGCATCATAAAACGGTTCATAAAAACTATGAAAAGGATTTTCCGCCACAGAGTGAATTAAGAAAACCAAAAGTAAGTGATTTGATATCTTGTCTGAAAAAAGAACAATCCATGTTCACAAGACCAGTCAAACAATCAAAAGCTGCTACGATCGCGTCATTTAAAATATCTCATATTTTGGCGAAACACATGAAAACCATTTGAAGATGTATCGGTGGTGAAGGAAGCATTTATTGAAGCGGGTGAAGCAAATTTTATTTGGAGATTTTAGAAATAAAACATAAATCATGTCTGTTATTAGAGCACTTCAGTTATCTCGTCCGACTGTCACTAGACGTATTGAATTCTTGAGTCAAGACATCGCAGATAAACTAAAACATAATATCATGGAATGTACATACTTTTCTTTCCAGTTCGACAAATCCATTGATATGACAGACACTGCCCAGCTATGTATTTTTATCCGGATGGTATTCAATGACATGTTGGCTAAGGAAGAAGGGAAAGACCCGTGGCGAAAATATATATGACGTTTTCTTAAATTTTGTAAAAAACTACGAGCTACCAATATATAAATTAATGTGCATTACAACCGATGGCGCACCAGCAATCACTGGAAACAAAAACGGTTTTGTGGCATTGTGTTGAGCTAATGAAGAATTTCCTTCATTTTTTTCATTCCATTGCATTATACATCAACAAGTTTTGTGTTCAAAAGTTTTAAACACGGAGGAAATTATGTGCATTGCAACAAAAATTGTGAATTCCATCCGTGCACGTAGCTTGCAACGGAAGCTCTTTCAGTTGCAGTTGGAAGATAGGGAGTCAGCTGAACACACTGATTTAGTTCTTCACACGGACGTCAGGTGGTTAAGTCACGGAAAATTCCTAGAAAGGTTTTAAGAATTATTGCCCGCAATAAGAGCTTTTCTAGACGAAAGATGTGATGACACTAAGATTTTGAAAAACGAAAAATGGCTAAATGATTTGGCATTTTTGACTGATATCACAATGGAGCTTCAAGGTAAAGGAAAAACTATTATTGAGATGATTAGCGCAGTAAACGCATTCAAAAGTAAATTGCAACTTATGATAGATCAACTGAAAAGAAAGGATCTGAAACATTTTTCGTCTTTGAAAGCAAGGATTCCTCAGTTGAATTATGATACGTATGAGGCTAAATTATCAAATATTTTGGACAATTCGATTTTTATGGTTGCAGTAAATTGGAAAATATAGCATCATTTATGAGTTATCCTTTATCACGTAAAAACATTGAGGAATTAGCTACTGAAATACCAATTCAGTTTAATATGAACTCATATTCTGTTGAAAATGAGTTGATGCAGATTATATCAGATATACATCTCAAAGCTACAGTATCTGATACAAATTTCTGGCGTTTTATATCTGAAGATAAATATCCGAATGTAAGGCAAATCGCCCTTCAACTGACGGCATTTTTTGGGTCAACTTACTTGTGCGAGTCTGCATTTTCTGAAATGAAGTTAATTAAGTCAAAATATCGCAATCGACTAACTGACGATCATATGACATCATACTTGCGATTAGCACTCAGTGGTTACGTACCATCTTATGAAAAGTATGCTGAGGACATGCAGTGCCACGCTTCAATATCCAAAGCCACTCCTTAGTTAAGTTTAACACCATATGTAACTCTTTTGTTTTGTAACAACAAATAAACTCGCAATTTTGAATAACTATGAGTTTTTTCATTGATATTGTAGAGAAGAACCTAACTAAACCTAACCCAAACCTTGACTAAAATAATGTACCTATATTGTGCAGAAAGCTAATATCTATATGCTACGGTACGCCCTACCTAGGTAGGTAGGGTGTATCGTGTATGTACGACAACCCTGCATCACACACACTTGCAGTCTCTCAGAGTCGATCGTAAGTAGTCTAAAAATGTTGAGGTAGATCGCCAGCAGTTCACTTTTGAGCACCCCTGCCATATGGTTTCACTGAGATTTTATCATTTATTTATAATTTATGATATTTTTACAGCCGTGGATTCTCATTATCAGAAGCTCTCTGATATAGTGATATATGATATTCAAAATGTCGCTAATGAACTGGATGGAATATTTTATTCAGCCACCTAATCCATCTGTTGAAAGTGTTGAAGATTCTTCTTCTTCTTCCTATTCATCTTGTTCTTCTTTTTATATAGACATGACTCTGTCTGTTTTTCAATGTGTCTTCAGTAAGTTGTAATTCCATCGTTTTCGTGATCTTCCTACTAATCGTTTTTCTATTGGGGAACCGTCTCTTGCCGTCTTTACTACTCTAGGCGTTGTCATTCGGCTTATATGATCGTGTTATTCTACTCTTCTATTTCTTACCCAGTTTTTGATGTTTTCCACCTTGCATCTATGTCGTATATCTGTACTTCTAGCTCTGTCCCATAGTGTCTTACCATGAATTTTTCTAAGCGTTTTCATCTCTGCTGTTTCTAACATCCTATTTGTCCTCTTTGTAAGTGGATAACGTCTTTTAATATGACCCGGTCAAATGCCTTTATAAGGTCCAAGCAACATAGATATGCCGGTTTGTTTTATTCTAATGATTTCTCTTGTACTTGCCTCATTATAAATATAGCGTCGGTGCATGATCTTTCTAACCTAAAACCTTGCTGAACAATCACTTCGGTTGTTAATTTTAGTGCTGTGTTTAATAAATTAATTCCTTTGTAATTTTTCAGGTCTGATTTGTCTCCCTTTTTGAAAGAGGTATTAGGATGCTTAATCTTAATTCTTGAGGAATTCTGTTTTGTTCTATTATTTTTTTGGATTAGTTTTATTAGTTGTTTGGTCAGTTCTGGTTCTCCCTACTTTAGGTTGACAGTGATGAAGATTCAGGGGATGAAAAAGATAACCTCATGATAAACAATTTCACTGATCGTCAATTGTAAGCTGGGGCTGAGCTAAAATTAACCACAAACAAACAAACAAATTCAGGGTACAAATGTGTTTCCAAGAGGATTACTTTTCAAGTAACCCAGTTATCTTTTACATTAGGCAAAGATGCGCTTACTCAGGGGAGCACATCTTTCTGTCAATGAGAAAACGAACACAAATGCAATATTATGCAATATTGCCGCACATGGATCCCATCTCATTGTTACACAGCAGGGACCAATATAGAGATGGACTTATATACCACTTTACCTACTCTTCTAGTGCGCTATGAATCGACTTGATGTACGGACTCTAGTACACTCAGTTGCACGTGCCGCCCTGGGTGAGTTATGTTTCTGTGCAACGATCAGCTTCTTCTTCTTCTTCGAGTGCCTCTCCTTTTGGAGATTGGATATCATTAGGGCGATTCTAATCTTGTTTACTGCTGTTTTGAATAATTCGTTAGTGGTACAGTCAAACGAGTCTCTTAAATTTCTCAGCCAGGACATTCTTCTACGGCCTGGATTTTTGCGTCCTCAGATTTTTTTTGCATTATATTTTGTACAAATGTGTACTTTTGTCCTCTCATCAGGTGGCCTAAGTATTCAAGTTTTCTCTTTTTTATATTCAGTATAACTTTTGGATCATTATTTATGCTGCATATTACGATTAGCTAAGACCAATTAAACGGCCTAAATTGGTAGTACTCCTATTAGTCGCTTCTTACTTAGGCTTACTTAGGCTCTTACGTGGGAATTAGCCTTAGCGCTCTAGTATACTGACGTAAACCAAAAGTGAATCTCAATGACTACACAAGGGAGTCCAGAGAGTTTTTTTCTCCCCAGATTTGCTTTTTAACTTATATATACTAGTTGGATCTCGATAAAGATTCGACCTAGTCCACACTTATATTACTTTGACGATAAAAATAGGAATGTTCAAAATTTTCTAAGCATTGAGGCAATTCTTAATCTGATAGTAGTTTCCTGAGACAAATTTTGAAAACTTGACAACGTTGATCCGACCAGTTTTCCAGTAGTTCGTAACAGTATGTTTAAGTACTTTAAACTTACTGATAAAATTGGCAACTAAATACACTAGTGACTTCATGCTTTTAAGTATTATGCCTGGTGCTATTAAGTTTTCCAAGAGCACATGTAAAACTTCTCCATATGCGGTCATTTAGCCTGTACTACTGGAGGAATTCAAAGTGTATAGCTTCACGCATACATATCGCATACATAATATTTATTTTACATATAAAGTCTTGAAATAGGTTCCTTATTTGACGATTTAATAGCATAGAATTGACTACAGTTAACTTAACAAATGTGTTTTTAGTACTCATTACAATAAATTTGACTTAAAATTTTCTCCTTGTTTCAGATATCCAGCAAGGGCACAAATTCCGGGATCTCAGTACCCCATAGAAAGCGTAATGGACACTATATCGCCTTCATCGTTACCCTACTGTACAGTGGCGTGGCCGACGTGTGTTCCAGCGAATATTCACATCATAAACTCTAACGTAAATCCTAGTTTAAATCCGAATTTAAACCCAAACTTAAACCCCAGTTTAAACGTGGCTTATCAACAGTGTTTATCGAGACGTAGTGCTAGTGCTCAAACTGACAATGATAGTGGAGAGTGTATTGAACAACCGTTTTTAAGTGGATCTCGTGTAAATATTAATAACCCTAGTAATAATACTAATAATAATAATAATAGTGAACCTGCTGTGAGTTCTGAACAAAATGACACGATGAGTGAGTTATTGACGGAGAGTCCAGATGAAGGATATGAAGGAGAACCTTCAGTTGTATAAAATGGTTTAATTTGGAATAGGGTTTTACAATAATTTACAATACTTTAAAAATATTAATAATTTAAACACACTTTACAAAATCTTTAAGTTATAAAACTGATTTTATGAAAATTTGATCTTTATTAGTAGTTTTGGACACGTATAAAAAAGTTCAAATGTTGAAGTCGCTACATTGTTTTAATTTTAATCTTCTTAAAATTGCTGATTTTTTTACGGTATAACAAATTATAGTTTTATTTGGTAAAATACATAATAACCATTACACTGATATTTTTTGAGCGCAGTCGTACGTATGTAAACCGATTAAAAAGGATATCAGATATTTTTGAAAGACCTGAAGAAAATGAACTAAACCTAATTAACCCATTAGTGCCTGAATTTCATTCCACCAAGTTTTCGATTGAATGAAAAAAAATGACCTGTTAAATAACTTAAAATTAATAAATTTTAGGGTATAATTAAAAACAATAAAACACTGAAAACTTTGTTTTCAAACTTCCACAAAATTTATTTTAACTATTATCACTACAGCTGTTTCGGTTGATTGCCTTTCTTAAGTGATCTATTTTTGGCTTGGGTTTACAAATTTATAGTCTCTAATGAAATAGGTTGAGGAGGGGAGAACTATTTGTGTCAAGTTGGTCATTCAGATTATATCTGTGTTTTTTTTAATTTTGTTGATTTCCATAGATTCTAACAAAGATAGCTTAAGGCCTTTATTTTGAATGGGAAGAATTTTAAATTTGTCATTAAAAGAATGATTATGATCTAGAAGATGAAGTGCGTATGTCGAATCTGTTTTTCTATTATTGAAAGTCCTTTTATGTTCTGCTATTCGTTTTATTAAAGTTTCTACGAGTTTCACCGATTGTAAGTTTTTGGGCAGTCGCCACATTGAAGTTTGTACACACCACTATTTAAGTGTTTTTTATTTTGGCTCTTGTTATTTTTAATATATTTGCCCAGGTTGTTATTTGTTCGGAAAGCTGGTGTTATTCCTTTCTTTTTTATGTGTTTGGCAATTTTTGTTGTTATTTTGTCTGTATAATGTAATCGAGCAGAAGGTACTGGGTGTTTTTCTCTGGTGGTGGAAATAATAAAAATAGGTGCTGCCCTCAGGCATCCCTTCCTGGATTTGTTGGATCGTTGACATCTTTTGGTCAGCTGCAACCTGAAAAGTTCTATTAGATAAATAAATATCACAAATATTAATTAAATAGTGCGGAAGTCTAGCCTTGCCAATCTTGTAGATTAATGCCTTCTTTCAAATCGTGTCGTTTGCTTTTTCTATGTCCAGTATGGCTAATCCTGTCTTCTGTTTTCTGTTGAATTTTATCTTCTCTTCGCTGATTATTCTTGCTAGTTGGAGTTCGCAGTTTCTTCCTTTTATGAATCCAAACTGGTCTTCTTGTATAATTCCTCTTCTTTCTGTGTGTTTCATCAGTCTCTTGTAGATGACTTTTTCCAGGATTTTTCCCATCGATTCCAGGAGTGATATGGGTCTGTAGCTTTCTGGTCTTCTTCCATCTTTCCTTGGCTTCAGTGGGGGTATGATTTTGGCGTGTTTCCAGTTGTTCGGAAAATGTCCTTTTTCTAGGCAGTATTTGAAGATGTAATACAGTTGTACTATGATCTTCTTCGGGAGTTCCTTGAGGGTGATGTTGGATTCCTTCTTTTCCTGGTGCTCTGCTTCCTTTTAGCTTCCTGATGATTTTTGCAACTTCGCTTGGGCTGGTGTGGTGGTCTTCGTTTATATGGAATCCGTTTCTTCTTCTGATCCTGTTGTATTCTTCTTCGACTTGCCTCCTTGTTTTTGCATCCGACATATCCTGGTTTTGTCTGTGTGTGGCTGCCATCTTTTTTGAAATTGCATCTACTTTTCCTTGGGTGTCGTAGTATGTTCCCTTGTTGTCCATGATTTGTGGCATCTATTGTTTTCCTCTTCTTCTTGCCTTCAACATTTTCCAAACGTTTCCATGGCTTTCTTTGGCTCTTCTGATGTTGTTGTGCCATTGATTTTTAGTAAGACTTCTCAGTCTTACTCTTATTTCTTCGGATAGGATGTCTCCGTATTCCTTGAATTCCTGTGTTCTGGTTCTTTGGAATGCTCTTCTGGCCTTGTTTATGTCCTTGATGAGGTTCTGAAGTTCTGTTGGGATGACCAGGCCTCTGATGTTCGTCATGGTTTTTGTGATGTTTGCTTCCATGGCACGTTGGATTCTTCTTGTGATTTCATCTATTTTTTCCTCTACTTCTTCTATTGATTGGAACTCTCTTTTCATTTCCATTTGGTTGAGCTGTCTTCTGTAATTTACGTTAACACTGACTTAAACAAAGCTTGTGTGGGAATAAACAGTAACGTCTGCCTTGTGAACAGTGCCGCCATCTGTCCGCTAGTAGTTCTACAAAAAAATTTACAATGGACAAATTAAATTTTGCGCTGTGTTACATATAATATACAATTCTAGGCACTAATGGATTAATAGTAAAAATTTAGGTAAAAATAAATATCCTTATATAAAGATTAGGAAAACAATGTAGAAACAAAAAAAAATATTTTTTTATAGAAAGTGCAAAATGCAAAAATAATTTTCAATATTTTCTACAATAAATAGAATGATTGCCATATATTTTAAATAAAGTTTATTATTTTATCCAAATAATCCTCTTCTTTTGTGAATGGTAATTCGTTACTGAATGTTAAAAAGCTTTAAAACTCGGTTGTACCTGCTTGAAATCACGTCTTAAGGTTTTTAATTAGGATTATTTTCTTCTTCCAGAACTTTTTCTGTCAATAGTTTTTCCTTGTATTTTTTTTACATCTGTTATATGTTTACCAGTTATTAATATTGAATTTCCTGAATGGTTAAATGCTATGTATGGTCCATATTGTTATACAGCATGGAAACATGGACGTTAAGAGTACGTTCGATTAATAAGTTGGCGTTCGAAATGCGAACGTTACGAAGAATGTTCCGCATACCATGGACAGATAGGGTGAGAAACGAGAAAGTCTTAAGAAAGGCAAATACTGAGAGAGAACTACTCAATTTGATCAAGGTACGAAAAACTGGATACCTCGGCCATATTCTGAGAGGCAAAAAATACGCAGTCTCTCAACTAATCATCCAGGGAAAGATTGAAGGCAAAAAAAGTGTAGGTCGCAAACAAATGTCGTGGCTACGAAACATAAAGAACTGGACAGGCATAAATAACAATGGCGATCTTTTGCATACCGCAAAAGACAAACGTCTGGCCTTAAGATAATTCTTTAACGAACTAGAAACTGACTGAAAAACGACTAGAAACTGGCACTATAAGAAGAAGAAGATATTGACTTTGCAATACCAGGAAGGAAGCGGTAATGTTCAAAACGTCTGGAAGTGTAAGTAACTTTTGAGAGATACTATGGCATACCAGGTCAGTTGGAGCTCGATGAAATGGATATCGTTCGCTTCCTTTCAGAGCTCAATCCTTTAAATAACATTGGTATCTGGAATGACTGAACTTTCACCATTGTGGGACTAAGAGCAACAGGAATATAAAAAGATCGATCCAAAAATTTAAAATACATCTAAATAAAACAATAAATTAAAATATTTTAATAAATTAAGTGTTTTAATTACTAGTTTAAAAATAAAATTTATTTCAATTTTGTTTCTATTTTTTTTTAATTTACTACAAATAAAATATACAAAAAAATAATTCATTTGACTGAAATTTTTAATTAAAATAAACTGTATATTACAATATTTCAAAAAAATAATGTACTGTTATTGTAAAACTCCGTTCACATCATTTCAAAACAGTAAAATAACCACAGTGAATCAATATTTTACGACATCATGCATACGACTATTGCAGTAAATTCTAAATATTGATTGGAAAACCAAAAAACAATAATTAAAACTATACCTGATGTTATATTAAATTTTATTAAATCCTAATTGTCCTTTATGATCTTTAATTGTTGTTTATCAAAATCCTTATTTTATATTTTTAATCTTTCTTGCTCTTTAGGTTATTATTTACAAATATGTTTAAACTAACGAACGTACTGATTTGATCAGCAAAGAAGACTAATTGATAATGGATTTGTACTTTAAATTATATCTTTCAAGACTATGTTTATCAAATTATACTAGCAGATGGATGCAAATAGATGCAAATTGCTTATGATAGAGAGGCATGAAAAAAGGAAGATGAAGCCTGTATCCAAAGATGCATACATGATTTAATATTTGTTTAAAATAAGCATTAAATTTAATTTATCCAACAACTTAAAAGATAATTCACCGGAAAGACTGTCTTTCTGATATAAATTGAAATGACATAAATTTTGTATTTTCTCAAATTAAATAATATTGTAATTAATGGTAAATTGAAAAATTTTAATGTTTAATACCATACTAGGGAAATATTAATTAAATCACAAATGGAGCAATTTTCGCACAAGACTAAACTTAACAGAAAAACTAGGACAATTGAAAATAAATCAAATAACAGTAAAGACAACAACACTAAAAACGTGAAATTAGAAGAATTACTGATTACTAATGAAGAGATTACTGAAATCTCCGATGAGAAAATAAAAGAAGCACTCCTACAGAAATGATAAATTTTGGAGGACGAAAAATCGTCGAATATGTAGTAAAAGAATGTCGTTGTTATGCGTCTTCATTCATCCTACGACAAAACATATTATGTCCTAAACGTTTTGGCACAAAATTCACTGGCTTTAATTTTACCAAAAACAAAATAATATTAACCTACCTTTAGAAACTTAAATTTGTTTACTCTTAGTTGAGATTAACTTATTTTAAAGTTTTCGTTTTAAGATGTTTTAAGATGCAATTTCGAAGACGGCTGATTTCCTTTTGTATACCTTTTGTGGAAAGATTGAGAGGTAAGACTTTGAATAGTCAGAGCTATATTGATTATTGCCTTTTTCGAATTACTTCAGCTTGTCTGCGAATATTACGCTTGTGGTGATATACCAT